AAGCACAATGATGCATGTGCTGTCCCAGCCAGTCTATGGGAATTGGATAGTTACTTAGGAATTATGAGCTGTCCCCTTAAGGGAATGCATCATGGTAAATGTAGTTAAAGGTATCCTGGGAAATGTAGTTCATGTCACGTGGCCATATCTATAATCCTGATTGGTCACTAAATTGACCCTTGAGGGGTTGGGGGAGGTTTCCCTCCATTCTTGCCTGGACTCATGAACTGATAGCAAGCAGCCTTTCTACCGCTATGAGATGGGTTAGGAGATAACCATCTTTTACTTACAAGGCAGATATACAAAGGATTGGTCATAAAATAAGAACTTCATCACAAACGTGAGTTATGAATATACCTGATGAACCAATAAATATTCTTTGTTATGGACGTCTTGTTGAGTTATCTCTCTGCATCTGTACAGTTTATGAATCCACCTCTGTACAAGATACAGAAAAGTAAAAGATGATTCTGAAACCCATCTCTATAAAACTGTATAATTTGGATTTATGATAAAGCGAAGAAATATTGAAGCCAGGAGTGAATATGTAATGTTAATATAAACCTGCATGTCCCATCTCTCTCTCTGTGAGCATCGGATGTTGGGAGGGGCTGGAGTTCCCCACATGCTACAAACAAAGAGATCTTTCTACCCACCCACCCCCTCTTCTCTGCTCAATTTGTCTTCCTGCTATCTCAGAGACTCTATTTGTATAACAAGGAGAGTTAGAAATTTCCCAGTTCTCAAAAGATAATCAAACCTCAGTTGGAAAGTTTGAGAACTCTTGTTTGTATTTTTAAATGGAAACAGAAAGCCGATTCTGCTATGCTCATCTGGAAGGGAGACAAAGCCCTTTACAACTCTTATTTCCTGCTGCTTCAACTGATTAAGATACATCGTAGTTTCAGGAAGGGGCTAATTCCCCCTCCTTTTCTCTTCAGCAAAAGAAGTGTTGTGTCTCAAATTACAACTCCTAACTGGAAAGAACTAATTTGTAAAAGCAAAGGAGGGACCGAGTATCTCTCATTCATCCCTGTATTCATCCAATTACAAACCCTTTCCAAACACAATGAGAAAGTTTCAGAAATCTTGCCTGTATTGCTAAAAGGAAAGGCTTCACATTTCTTCTGCTCTCGGCTGCTTTGAAGAGGCAATAAAGAGGCCACGGTAATAAACATTCCTCTGGCCAGAGCTGTCTCCAAAGCAACGGAGCACATTCTTTCCCCCTGAAGAGAGACACTTAATCTAGCAATGCTTTAAGCAAAGTTAGCATCTTCCCCCTTGCTATGATTTTTTTTGCAAAGTCTCTCAAGATTGACCAGAGTGTTTCTCCAATGATAAATCCCTTTGAAACTATTGTGAACAATTTAATCAATTTAATTCAAATGTTCCAAGATTACCTGCAACTGACCAGACCCAAGTAAAGCAGCCTACCTCCCCATCTGGTGGTCAAGAAGAAATTTACAATGAAGTCAAATAATTCTTACCATTTTTTTTCCTTTTCAAGAGTAGGCAGGAAATTCTCTCCACCTCTGTACAAGATACAGAAAAATGCAATATTTCATCAATGTACCAAATGGGCTATATTAAATTAACTGTTGATTCAGAGAGTCAGAAGAGAAATTTTAGAATAAAAAATATGATTGCATGAGATCAAACTTGAGGGGGGGGGGAGAGAAAGAGAAAAAAATAATGTATTCCCCCAAAGGGAAAACATTATCTGTAGCCCCAAGCTTATTTTTGGAGTTCTTAACAATCTCTGAGCCTGGATGCTTGCTTGTGTGATTGTGCAATAATGATGTCCTCTAATTTGGTAATGAAAATTTATAAGCTAACAACAAAGTTTGGAGAGCATCAAAATTTCCACAATTTATTCTTTGTTTTGAATTCTTACCCAGAAACCACACAATTGCACAAGCAAATATCAATGGTTGGAGAGCATCCAGAAATCCAAAGTTCAGATGAACTTTTGATATACATACACCATTCATTCTCTCTATCCACACCCCACTGCTACTTAAATATTTGTTCCAGGCTTCAACATGAGAGAAGATCACTGTGTATATTGTTTAAATTACTTCATCTGTTATTTTTAGACTCTTACTTTCCGCCTGGAAACCATATTCCAAATGTCTACATTGTAATGTGTCATATATATCTTAATTTATTTGATCCAGGTACTGTCTGACTCCAGAACAACTCTAGGAGACTCACAGAAAAACTGACCAAAATATCACATAAATAAGAAACAAGCAAAGCAAAAAAAAAAAAAAGGGGGGGGGGCATCTAGCCAACAACACAGAAAACACATACAAAGATATCCCACAAGAAGCTGCAGCCATCCAAGCAGCAGCTGAGAGAAGATACCATAACATGTAGATTGATAACTGGCTTTTAAGTTAGCACAGGATTGGCTCATTTGGCAAGCCAGACATCTGATTGGATAGCAGAATTCTAAGGGTCAGTTGGACAGTTAGAAGCAGATGGAGAACTTTCCAAGTTTAAAACCTAGCAGAAAAGTGAGTTCCCTCAAATGTCCATAGGCATATCAAATCTGAATATTTTTTATTAGAACCCACCTTTTATACTAAGAACTATGCTTTGTTTTGACTCTTCTCTATATGATAGGCTTATGAGTAGGTTGGGAGAATATATGTTTGGTTGAAGGTCATATGCTGGTTGTATAGATACAGTATGCTTAACCTTGTTGCTAAATTAACCTATGTTTGGGATACAAATGGTAAAATGAATTGAAATTTAATAAATTTAATAAATTAATTAAAAACATTAATAACAAAATGAATACACATAACATACTAAGCCACAAAAACAAAACAAGATTTATCGCTAACCAGATTTAGAACTTATTTCTGGTGTAGCCACTAGATTCTTTGACTTCTCCGTAGGTTGCAACATGAGCCACAAGATTTTTAAACTGCAGACAAGACAGATTTCATCTATTGTGTTATACTATAATAACTTCACTGTACCTTAACTAAAAATAATGTGTACATTCAATTATAGTGGTAGATTAAAATGTTGTCCAATCCCACAAATTGTATTTTATTCTTCATGTCATAATTAAAGAAAATATGGTATATTGTGATATATGAAACCTGTCACTATAACACATAGAGGTGACCAAGTTGGGGTTGCTGTGTTATACTATCACCAATACATTCACACCAGGCAAAGATTTTCAGTGTTTGTTGTCTGGAAACTAGATTTTCAGAATGAATCAATTTTTAATATAAATCATAAGTATAAGTATTCTAAGTGAAACTAAAGTAGAAGTTTGGGTTATATAACTTTGCTAACTCCTTTAGCTTTGCTAACTCCATCAGATTTCATACAAGGCCTTCAGAATTATTAACTGATTATATACCTCACTCCCTGCACTTTCCCTGCAAGCATTGTTTGAACAGTCAGCCCTAGGCAGATGGAGGGTGTGCATGAGAGACTCCATGCATGTATTAAAATGATCTCTGGTCATTGTTATTATCTTCCTGGACTGAGTCTGCAAGTTAGATAGCAGAAATGCTTAACAACTTCTGGCACAGAGTTTGATCGGTTATTTTAAAGGGTGAGGAATTTCAAAAGATTTTGAAAAAAAAAAGCCCAACCCTTCTTTATCACACAAGTAAACAAGCTATATTCCTAAAAGCAAATGCACTCTTCCCCCACCAGCATTGGGTACATGGGTCCAGACTCCAGAGCACTTCTAGATGTTATTAATGAATTGTAATTTACAATGCAACAAAAAGAATTTATCTGTGTTTAAAGGAATGTAACATTTTTTCCAATGCAATGTGAGCCAAGGAATGTGATTCACAAAAGGCTAATGAGATTATAAATGTGATTAATTTTTAAAAATATTGTGAATGTCTTTGTTGTTTGTACTGATTAAATCAATCTTTATTATGGTAAAAGACCAAAGAAGGTGTGATAGAAGGAATTTAAAAACATTACAAAGTAAAATTATATAAGAAATGAAAAAATATCAAAACCAATTCAGCTTACTCTTTGGTAAGTATGTTTTCTTGTTCCAATCAATCCTGGACTTTCCTTTATATGTAAAAAAAGTTTGTTGGTTGTGTTGGGCAGGCTAATTGGCAATATTATCTCTTTTCTCTTTTATATATAGAGGGACAATGATTGTGTGTCCTGGGATGTTCAGTCATAGTTGTCAATACAGGTATAGAGAGAAGCAATAGAAGTCCAAGTTGTTTTTAACGGTATGTGGTGAGATTAGGTCTTCTTCTTGGTCTTTGCTGATCTTAGTTGGGCAAAAAGTTTTGATTTCTGTTACTGCTATCCATATTGGCAGAGTTTCTATATTAAGATTAGGGCTTCTACTTCCATAAGAAGTATCCATATAGTATAGGAACTATATGGAAGTATGGGTAGCATACTTCCATATAGTTCTGGGAAGTATGCTACCCAGATCCCCGAGGGAAAGTGGTAATCTACCATGGCTGATCCATTTCTTTGGGAGTTATTAAGCTAATTTCTCATCCCTGTAGCAAAAATTTGATCTGCAGTAATTTTAAGAGCTCCCTTTTTAAGTTTGAATTTCTGCAGACTGCAAAATATTCCACTGGTTGAATTCTGCCTGTGAAGCTTACATATAAAAAGTAGCCGTCTGCCACCCTGGCCCTCTGACAGTTTACCAATCCTTGGGATACTCATTGCTCTGCTTTTACTGAATTAACAGTGCTAACTGCACAGAAATGAAGTGTTTTATGGCTGAATGTAAGGAGCAGTAATTTCATGTTGTTCTAAGGGCTAACATGTTTCATATTTGTTCATTTTCCAATTGAAACAGTGTTTGAACATCACTTTCTTTTGCAGTTTTCAGAAGAAGATGTGGCCAAGCAGATCTTATAGAAAGAATGAGTATAATGAATTTTTTTCACATCTGTCAGATTCCTTGACCAAGAGTGAAAATGCCCTTTTCTGTAATGTTCCTTATGTACACATGGGTTTTCACCTCATTACTTATGGGTCTCAAAAGTAAGGACTAAAATCTCTCATAATTGCTCTTGCTTTTAAATTCTGTTTATCTCATGAACGCAAATATAAATATACATGTACTGCATATGTATATAAAAAAAATCTGATGTGGAAAGTGATTTTTTTGCTTAACCTTCTTGTCGATCAGAGATAATTCTAGTCAGTTTGGTCAATGCTCTGTTTTTAATGTTTCAGTTTGGTTTAAAGTATACAAATGTTTCTGGGAAAAGGTACGGTTGCTTTAAAGAATTTTAAAGAAATACATGAAACTTATATCAGTTCTAATAAAAAAGCTGGGATAAGCACCAACCACAGGATATTCTTAAGATATCCTGGTGTGGGAAATGCATTATAGATGGTGGTGCAGTTGAATAACAATTGATGGCCCTTATAAACATTTTTATTTATTTTATTTTCATCACACTATTATTATTTTTCTAAATAATTCAAGATGACAAACATAAGCCACGCCTGCTTCTAATTTTTTCTGACCCAACTCAAAAACCTTTGCCAAAAGATGGCCCACAGGCCTGTTAGCCTTCGAACTCCTTAGTCTCCCAGAACAAATTTGTGGAACTGAACATCCCATTCTTCTTTATTTTTAACCACTATTTTCTTCAAAAAGGTCCAGTTTTCCTTTTCCTTTCTTTCTTTCTTTTCAGCGCCATCTCTACCATGTGTTTTCCCATTTCTTTATGAGGGAAAATATTATCCTTCGTGTACCACAGATGGTTCCAGCAAAGATATATCCTGGTGTGCATTAACTGATAACTATGATGAAAAACGCCTGTGGAAACAATGTGCTGTTACTGGTAAGAAGTACAACTGGTACCCCATACTACATTCAGCAGTTTTGGATGAATGTAATCTTCTCAAACATGGGTTCTTCATAAGTGTTGGGACTACAGATATATGCATTCCCCTTTCATATGTCCCACAGGTATGCTGGCTAGGAAATGTGGAATTATATACTACACCATTGATTGCACAAACTCCCATTCTCGGAGCTATATTAGAAAGTCCTTGAATTAAATTTGACACTCTGACCTGCTGCAATTAGTGCAAGGTAGGGTTGAGCCACAAAAAATGGAGCAGAAACTTCTTTCTCTTCTGCAACATAGAGACATGTTTAGAATGTTCTGAGAAATCAAGGAAAATTTTGGAGCCTTCACATGACAACTCTTGTTAATACTAAAATCTTGTGAAGTTTTATGGTCTTGCACAATTTCTGCTGTTTTCTTTCATGTTGTGGATCCTTGCCCAAATTCTATAATTTTATGTCACATCTGCTTCATGGATTGCCTTGTGAATGATAAATGTGATTAATAATAATTATTCTTATTATAACATTTATATTGCCACCTATTCACATATGGTGACTCAAAGTGGCTTAAAGGGGTATAAAACATCATATATATAAAAATAAAACTAATAAAAGAAAATAATAAAATAATAAAATAATATAATAACCACCACACACCGTACCGCAGTGACAAAACATCACACCAACCATTTAATGAGCTCCATCCTGCTCTTGGTTCCCCAGACCTACTAGCAGAACCAGATCTTCCACTTCCGGTTTGTCGGCTTCGCGAGCGGCAGGGATTCGCGAAGCTGCGCGATCCCTGCCGCGCTAGCCGCTTTTGGTGCTCCAATCCGGACGGGTCCGGAGCTAGGCTGCCCTGCAGGGGCAGCTGAAGATAGGGGGGATCTGGAGAGGAGTTTGGGGGTGTTGCAGACCCCCTCCCCGGCCGGCAGAACCCCCTTTTCCCAAGACGGTGCAGTGGCGGTCCGCAATGGCCGCCACAAAGAAGCTGGCAGTCGGGTAAGAATGCGCAGGAGGAAGTGGAGAAAGTTTTTGAAAAGAGAAAGTTTTTCTTGGTTCCCAGGACTCTAAGACATATTTAACAAAATTCCTGAAAATTATGACTTTCTGAATGATACCTTCTAGAAGAGAAAAAAAGCGGCAGTTTGGTGGTGCTGAAAGGAAAGTTTACTCTCCTTCCCTATGGAATTAATAAGCTGATATTAAGAAACCTATTTTTTTTAGGTAAAAACTGGATTTAAGTGATGAGTGGGAAGGGAGAGGACTAAAAAAAAATATTTGTATGCTAAGACTTTGTTGGAGGAGATGCCTTAAAGATTTGAAGACTGAAATATATTGCAATAAGACTTTAAGAAACAGATTTGGACTTTCTTTTTTTTCTGATCGATACTACCCCAGGAGGAGAAAGTGAGAACTCTGCCTTGGTTTGGACTGATTGATAACTTTGGGACTGTTTTATTTTTTTTGGAATATTCTGGTTGTTGTAAGAAGAAAGAAGGGGAAAAGAAAAGAAAAGATTTATAATGGCTTTTTCTGTTGAGGAACTGAGAAAAGAATATGAGCAAGCAGAACCAGATCTTCCATGCTTTCCAAAAGAGTGTTAGAGTTCGGGCCATTCTAATCTCTGGGGGCATGATGTTCCAGACAAAGGGAGCCACCATGGAGACCTGATGGGATACCTTGCCTCCCCACTCCATTGGGTCAGATAGATGTGACCAGCAAGAGATGGTCCCTTAGATAACCTGCTCCTAAGCCATGAAGGGCTTTAAACAACCAGCACCTTGAATTGTACTTGGAAGCAAATCAACAACCAATGCAACTCCTGCTGGGGAGGTGATACATATGTACACCAAGGTCTGCATAAAACCATGTGGGCCACTGCAGTTTGCATAAACTGGAGCTTCTGAATGCTCTTCAAGGGCAGCCCCAAGTAGAGTGCATTGCAATAGTCAAAAAGACGTGATGTGACTAGAGCATGAGTGACTGTGAGTAGGGTTTGTCAGTCCAAGAAAGGACATAACTGGCACACAACCTGCAGTTGCGCAAAGGTCTTCCTGGCCATGACTGCCACCTGCTCTTTGAGCAGGAGTTATGAGTACAGGAGAACCCCCAGATTACATACAGGTTCTGTTTGGGGTAGTGCCACCTCATCCAAGACCAAAGGTGGCAATTCTCTATGGGCCAAAAAATCCCAAACCCAGAGCCACTTTTCTTGTATGCAGGAAGTATGGCTAGAGGGAAAATGTAAAAGAAAGGCCACACAACACTTTCTATCAGCCATTCTCTCCATAATGCTGGGCAATGTTTTCATTGCTCAGAGCAGCCACAAGGTCTATTCATACACATTCTGAAGCACATCTTTCAAATCATTTTTAAAGTATGCAGAGTTCTAGTTTGTATCACAGAATTTCCTATAATCCCATGACTATACTGGCATGTTATCAACAATGTTAGCATGCCAGTGTTAGTAAGAGAAATCCCGTTTATACAGGTATACAAATCTGGCCTGTAAGAAATGCAAATGACCATTAGACATCATTAGAGATGCAAGAAAAATCCCTTTGCTGCATTTTACACCCAAATATACCATCTTGCCTGACATTTCTAGAGTGATTTTTTTTCTGTATTGTCCCATTAGCAATTAGTAAGAGAGCATTGATTGACTTATAATATATTTCTGGCAGATGTGAAGAGAATCATAGGTTGTCTTCAATGGGATTCGCAAAGGGATGGAAACACTTCAGGGTTGGGTATTCTATTTGCAATTCACTATATTTATATGTAATATCTAGCTTTTCCTCTGACCTTTTCATTTTAGATTATGCTTTATTATGTTGGTGACAATCTCAGTATTAGAAAAAACACTTCTCTGCAATCCAAGTTTCCATGATTCAAACACCCATTTGTCCCAAGTAGCACAGCCAATGTCATGGGACTGTGAGGATAGTAGTCTATCTGGAGAACTTTAGTTGCTCACTCCTGTCTTAGATAAAGACAGCAATATCTCTATTTATATTTATACATTGCTCTAATATCTATTTACATATTGCTCTTCTCTTTGCCTAGAGTATGGAGGCAATTCAGGAGGAAAACCCTGTATCTTCCCCTTTCTTTATATGAGTCATGTTTACTACACCTGTGCAGGCAAATCTGACCGTAAAGGACCATTCTGGTGTTCTACAACAGGGGACTATGATAAGGATAAGAAATGGAGCTACTGTGCTGATACCAGTAAGTGAAATTGAGGACTATTAGATTAGAAGTCATGGTTTATAATAACTTAAAAGTTTTTATACAGAATATCCCTTTCTGGTTTGTTCTGAGCATCAACAACTGTTAGGAATTTGCATATAAAATAGAACAGAAAATTGTATATAAAATAGAACAGAAAATTGTATATAAAATAGAACAGAAAATTGTATATAAAATAGAACAGAACAGATCAAAAGTACAACTATTTCCATATATAATAAAGCAAATCAAAGGTAAAGTAGATTTAATTATTTTGGGAGATAGAATTTTATAATCCCTTATTCACTAGATCAGGGGTCACCAACCTTTTGGACCTTAGGGACTACCAAACTCATAATTTTAAATCCTGCGGACCACTAATATGAATTTTGACTGACAGTGGCTTGCTGACGTTGGTGGGAAAGTTGGTCCCACATTACAGAGCTTCAGTGGTCACAGGACTGGCCCTTTGGTCATCCCAGAGCAGCTGCTCCTCCACCCAGGTGCACTGGCCTGCAATGGACTGGAGGAGCTGCTTTGGGATGACCAAAGGGGCAGTCTTGTGACTACTGCAGCTCTGGAATATGGACCGACTTTCCCACCAACATCAGCAAGCCACCCCGGGGCAGATTTCCCTCCCCACCATTGGTCTTACCATCCAGTTCAAGCTCGTGTGGCTCTACTCAAGGTAACTTGGCTGACTGTAGAGGCCAGCGGGTGGGTGGGCCATGTGGGCGGTGCAGCCTTGTGTTCCCGCACAACCTGGATTAATTGCTTGGGGGGGAGTGCTTTGGAGGGGGGGACATTTCTCTGAGGACCACCAAAATTTTATTGTGGACCACCAGTGGTCCCCGGCCCACCAGTTGGTGATTACTGCACTAGATAGTTGTGCAGTGTAAAATAGAAGGGTATAGAGTAATTAAGGTCCTGGTTCAGCCAAAAATAAATATTTTTCCCATTAACCTCAAATTTTCCTTAATATAATTAATGGTATAGGATATAACCTTGCATGCTATTATCCATAGTACCAACAGACTTTCAGGACTTATGGAGTAGATATGCTGAGGGTTACACTTAAAAAAATATTAACTCTATTACTTGATGGACTTTAATAGAATGGCAAATGATCATTCTCCTTTTATCTCCTTCTTCTAGGACTTGATGCAAATTATCCTACTAGTCCATGCATCTTTCCTTTTATCTTTGAAAATAATCTTTATTCAACTTGTACAATAGATGGAAGATCTGACGGAAGGCTTTGGTGTTCTATTTCAAGTAATTTTGATTTTGAGCCTATGTGGACATACTGTGAGCCTTCAGGTAAGCAAAACAAATAATGGAAATAACCAGACAAAGCACGGATGTAACTTGAACCCAACTTTTGTGAAAAAAGGGCAAGCTTTGGGAAGAAGAATAGTTTAATAGTTAAGAAACAACCCATCTCTTGGTTGTGGGAGTTGTAGTAAAAAAAATCCATTTATTATATATCATCTTCCTATTATTAAATCTCCCTTCTTCATATGCTTTGGTTCCAGTGATTACCTATTTTTATAGCTGCTTTTCTATGTGCAGCAGAAGAAAATTTGAGGGGTCCAACTTTGGACCTAAGTTGTATATAGTATTCAAATAACAATACTGCAATTCAGCAGAAAGCAAGTCAAGTGCTTGGAATTCAAGTGCATTAAGGTAACAATATGCTAACAAGTGAAAAAGCTAATTACTAGATTGTAAGAGTAAGCACTAGGAATGGAAGATATTAAAGTAGTGACTAAATAACAATTACAGAATTTTAGGCCTTTGGTTTTCTTTCCATAGCAAAGTGGCAAGGTTAACCTTATCAATTAGAGTGATATCATTATGGCCATCTCATAATTAATGAGTATTTGTAATTGTCATGTGGCAATTAAATAAAGATAAAAATCTGAATAAATCTATTAAGGTTTCCAATCCCCCCTTGTTTAGACTTCTCTTTCCTGGCCTTGGGTACTGAACTTGTCAATAAACAAATCTGCACTTCCATGTTATTATATGTTGGTTTCTTGTTCAAAAATATCCCTTTGGAAAATGCTGCTTCAGTGTTGTATTCCTCACTTCCATGCCACAATATGAAAGTAATGTGATTTCTATTCCTTTATTTATATTACTTGCTATTTTGCTCCTAATGTATATTATGTACATAATTTGAACATTTGATCATTTTCCTTTATATGTGAAAAGAATATTTCAGCCTACAGAATGAAATTAATCCCTCTTCATCCTTAATTGTCACATCAACTCTTTCCTTATATTGTTTCAATCAATGCTTCTTCCTCTTTGCTGGGTTTCCTCTCTAGATCCTGCCCCTTGCAGTTTTCCCTTCGTATACAGGAACAAATCCTATTATTCCTGCACCACAGAGGGGGCTTTATACAATCAGCTATGGTGTGCCACAACCCCAAACTATGATAATGACAGCAAGTGGAAATCATGCTCCTTTCAAGGTAAGAGAGTGAGAAGCAATTGCCTGGAGCACTTGTGGGTGATCTCAAATCCTCTCTTGGTGTTAGAGGAATTATTGAAGAGCCAGTTTAATCACAGTAAAGTCATCAGTTGCAATAATCAGTTGCAGTCATCAGCTCCACTTTTTGCAGAGACATTTCAGTGTGCCATTCTTCCCCAGAAAGTCTGATTTTTGCAAAGTGTGAAAGATCTGTACTGGATGCTCTCCTGGACATTGGCATGGGATATCAGATGGCCTGTTTAATGTGTTTCTTGGGTTTGTTGGATTAAAAGCCTCAAGCACTTTTTATATTTATATTGCTTTTTGCTGTTCATTTCTTGTTTGTTGTGGCTTTTTTAATGAATTAGCTTAGCCACCTGAAAACATAAGTATGAATTCGGTGGACATATGAATTGACATATTAAATAATGATTTTTCCTTTAACCCCTTTCCCAAACTTGTAAGAAGGGAGAGCTTTTCTCTTTCGTGAGGTCATGGCATCACATTCCAAGTACTCTTCTGTTCTTGGAGCTTCTCTGCTCAATTAAAGCATGAAAATGTTCCAGAGTGATACTCTTACGATGCAATATAAAGTTCCAACCCAGAGTTCTAAGTTCTTGCTGTGTTTCTTTTTCTTGGACAACTGAACCAAATTTTCTCCCAGTGTTGCTTTGTTTTCCCTACATTCAACAGAATATGGTGGGAACTCCAATGGCCAGCCTTGTGTCTTTCCTTTCAACTATAAAGGAGAGGAAGTTACCACTTGCATTGATGAGGATGAGAAGAATGAGAAGAATGGGAGATTTTGGTGTGCCACTACAGAGAATTTTGATGCGGACATGAAATGGAGTTTCTGTGCTGATACACGTTTAAACAAGAAAAAAGGCAGGTAGCTCATAGATACCAGATGGTGATAAATGGTTGGGTTTAGGAACACAGCACAATTTTATTTACATTTATTTGGAAGTAAGCTACCTTGGAGTTGATTCTGAAACCAAAAGACCATTGGTTCAATATTTTATGCAGCTGTATTTTCTCTTTACACAAGTGATTTACACAATCATTCATCTTCACTATATCCTTTCAAAGTGTATTTAAGGATTGCTATGTCCCAAGCTTTTATAATAACACATTTAGTCTGATATTCTGAGATAATAGGTGAACGAAAAGTAATATTAAGAAATGTAACAGTGGCACTCCTAGTATGCCAAAGACTTGGCAAATATTGCCAGTCTCTGATGTTGACTTGGCTGCTAGACCCCGAGAGCTACAAGTGAGTCCTTGTACTTTTCAATTCTAGTATCACCACTTCATACCTTTTGCTTATTGATTCCACAAAAGAGAAATATAAACTTTCTATAAATATTAATTGCCATTTAGAATGTCAATGTTACAAGCAAATACTGTATATTATTTAACTTTTCAGGCAACATTGAGTATAAGATAAAGAAGAACCTCTGCATTTCATATCAAAGTTTTAGCTAATGTTAATAGTTTCAGTCTTGAACTAATTACTTAATATTAAGATCTCCATTTTGTTATTACTTTGTGTGTGTGTTGTGTATGTTGTTAAAAGGAAATAGAAGATAGATGAAATTAAGTTAATAAAGTCTGAATTTTAAATTTTGTTTCTTGTTGATCATGAGGAAAAAAAATCACTAAGGCGGTTGTGCAGCACTTTGAAGTTGAAAGTTAATAGGATTTTTGAGATACAAACTACCCACCTATATCTCTTTAAAGCAGTCACAACTTTTTCCAAGATTGCACCTTCCTTTGGCAGCTGCTGTAAAATTCTGAAGAAAAAAAAATGCTTAAGGAGTTGTGAACGGGAATTACATTTGTGCTTCATATTCTCCACAGTATATTTTTGCCATCAAGTACTGCACAGCTTTAAGTGAATATAGCATAACTGGAACTGCATTCCTCTGCTTTTAGAGTTTGATCTTATGCTTTTTCTCTTTCTTTCCCACATGCATTTGTCTTCAATAATTTTCTGAGAAGATATGGAATCAAAAGAGCCTTGTTTTTTCCCTTTTGCCTACAAAAAAAAGCTTTACTCAGAGTGTACAACTGATGGTACCTCAGGCTGGAAACTCTGGTGCTCCCTCACTGCCAATTATAATACAGATCACAAGTGGAGGTACTGTGAGCCTTCAGGTAAGAACAGAAAGTTGATGAGTGCAAAAGGCTTCCTACATAAAAACTGGGAGGATACATTGTTTTTTGCTCACTTCCCTAATGGGACAGTTTTGTTTCTATGCTTTTCCTTTCTCTTCTTTTCACACAAATTTTATTTTTCATTTAACAGATATACCAAGTGAAGATCCATGAAGACCGAAACAAGTAACTAATAATTTGCCACTTAGGTAGATACAAAGCATTCCTTATTTTACTCTTGTTCAATAGGTGTAAGAAAAGCCCTGTTAGACAGGCCAGTGGGCCAGTCAGTCCAACAATCTGACCTGATCACATAATAGTAATATTGTGTCTGGCAATATGTATCACATAATAGCAGAATATTCAGAAAATTCCCATCCTTGGCAAGGGACAAAGATTCCTAGCAGTGGTAATTAAAGTATTAAAGTTGCTTTAAATTCAGGAGCCCTAAATAGCCTGGCAAACTGATGGACATTGATAGCTGATCCTTCATGACTTTTTCTAGTTCCTATAAAAACTGCTTAATTGGTAGCAAATCCCAGTTTAGATATATACGACGTAAGATGAATTTCTTTTGATTGGTATTGAATCTTCAGGTTTTGATTTCAGTGGATTAATCCAAGCTGTAGCATGGAGAGAGACAAGGAGAAAAAACATCAACTTTTCCCAGTTTCTCTAGCATGGGTTATTTTTATACATCTTCTTCTAATCACCGTAGACATTTCTATCCCAAAGTTTTGGCTTGCAGGTTGCCCTCTGTATGAAAACCATTATAAAAAAAAAATCCCATTTGTACATTTAACACACAGAAGGGTAAATGCGGCAGAACTTGTTAATCCAATCTGGTACACTCTAAATATTAATACGGCATTCACAAGGAATCTTCACAAGCTCTATGCCAGGGGTGTCAAACTCGATTTCATTGAGGGCCGCATCGGGGTTGTGTTTAAACTTGGGAGCTGAGTGGGCATGGCCAGCTCGACTTCACTATATGTCAGGGCCCCGAGTGCTCTGCCAGCGAAAATGGAGCTTGGGTGGCTGTGATGGCCTCCTGCAACCCTCTGCCAGCAAAAACGGAGCTTGGACCTGCAGGAGGCTGGTCCTTCGCTGTTTCCAGGGTAGCCACGCAGGCCAGATTGAAGCACCTTGTGGGCCAGATCGAGCCCCCAGGACTTGAGTTTGACACCCCTGGTCCATGCAATGTAAGGACAGAAAATACAGAAAGTCATCCACAGACCTCAGAAATAGTGCTGTGGGCAGAAGGGGCACTCAGTGTCAGGGGAAGGGCAAGTAGGCAAGGCTCCTTTCCTTTTCTAGAAGGAAGGGACTATTTGAAAAATAGTGGTAGAATGCTGGGACTACATTTAAAGATGCCATGTTTTAAATGCTTCAATGCAACACGAATAAGAAAGACTTAATTTGGAAAGAAACAAGTGAGGGAAGAGACGTTTCATATTGGCTTTTCTAGAGATCAGTAATGCCATTTTTATAAACAATCCCCCTACCAAAACTAAAGGCCCACCACATCAATTAAATAATAAAAATGAAAACGTTTGGTTTTGCACCATAAGATATATAACTCTGGTATACTGTATTTAAACATTTCTATGCTCATATCAGTAAAGATGCACATATTTAAACATTTCTCTCTAAACACATCATGCTCTATTTCCTGTTAGCCCCCTTTCCCCAGTTATTGGGGGGATGGGGAGGGTCACCAGGATATTATATTAAAACATGTCAGGAAAACTTTCAACACTTAATTACCAAGGATCCTTGTGAAAATTTCTTCCTGTTTTGCTCAACTCTATAATATGCACATCTAGTGTTAATGATTTATTCTAGAATGTCTTTTACTTGCAAGGTAGAACTTTGCCATTTGGAATGTTTATGGGATACATCACTAGCCTCCCTTGCTTTACTAGTCTATTATCTGTTAGATGTGAGTATATACATAACTGTGACTGATCAATTTGCCTCTCTTTCCAGATTACAAAATCATTCAACCAATATCTTGGACATCCATGATTTCTACTGTACTTTAATTTGGCAGCAGGATTTAACCCATCTACTTCTGGTTCTCGTTTATTTTCATTAATACCACATGTGAAATCTTTTAGAAGCCACTGATCTGTATTTCACTTGGATCTTGATGTCTGTGGATGATTTACATCAGCACTAATAACATTTTAGTTTTTAGGCTTTTAGTTATATGAAAAATAGTGCTGACATGAGACTAAGTGCCTGAGCATAGGGTTCTGAGTTAGACTTTGAATAATCGTCTTCTAGCTTCACTTATAAAATAGATATAACTCTTAAAATTAAACTCTTTATACTTGATATCTCCCTACTGATGTGGTTATGTCTGTGTATCTTCTCTACATTTCTTTAATCCCTTAATGATTCACAAAGTATGTTTTTACTCCAGCATATTGCTAGATATTTAATTATTTTAAAAACACAACAACTTTCTAAACCTTTGATTATGCAGAAGAGTTTAAGGGGAGTTTGAGCCTTCATGGTATATCAGAAGCTTGACTGGTATGTTGTTAGTGGTAGTAAGGAAATAGAGCATTTTCTCTCCCCTCCCCCATGACTTATAATTTCTGGTTAATATACATTAGTGTAAACTTTGAAAAACAGAGAAGCTTCATTGGAAAAGCGAACAGCTTATCTGAAATATTTTTGGGTTACTTGGGAAAAATTTCCCTATGTAAGCAAGAATTCAGAGTTCTCAAGAATTTACGATATGATGGTTTGGACTTCTGCATTTGAGGATATCTTGGTATGTACCCTAACTCTTTAGAACATCTCAACCTCAGAGGTGAAGCAAGCACTCACTTCTGCTTTTCCAGAAGACTATTAAGATCTAAGAGTATGATGCAACACTGGAGCTGGCTGAAACTTAAGCATTCTGAAATTTTAACTCTGATTTCTTACTTTTAACTTGCAAGTTTTAACTTGTTCTTAATCCTATTTTTAATCTGTGCTTTTATTTAGATGATTATACTGAATTATTATGTTGTAGTAAACAGTGAGGGTCACTTAAGTGAGATGGATGGTGTAGAAATGTAATAAATATATGAATTAAATATTTCATAAATGTATAAATATATAAACATTTATAAATAAAAGAATGTCTAAAGACCTGACCCTGCCAGTTCACTTGGAGCTCACAGAACAGCATACAATCATAAAACTGGTGCCCCAAAGACCCTCTCTGCCTTTTTAATTTTAATTATTTTATTCTTGTTTTTGACTGTTTTCTATTATAATATTTACATATATCATTTTTTTATTTATGTCCATTTGTACACTACCGAGTTGCTCTATGAGGGGGTTTCTAAATGTTGTAAATAAATAAATATTCCAAACACATTATATGAAGACACAGGTCTCTGGAAAAGGTGAAAGGAAAGAGGATGACCAGAAGCAAGGTGGATGGATTCAGTTACCCTGCTGATGAATACATCATTGGGTGACTTGTAAAAAACAGATCAGAGATAGAAGATTTCATGGAGAAAATATTTATGTACAATATAAAGTTGCTTCAACAGTGAGATAAACAGCATATAAAATAGACACACATACATTTATTGACAGCTTTGACAACAGTGATAAGAAATAATGCAAACTAAAATAAAATAAACAATAAAGATAAAAGAAAAATCTAAAACTACATAAAGGAAAAAGGAGAAGAAAAGAGAAGAAAACAAACATACTGTGGTGCAGTGGTTAGAGTGCAATACTTCAAGCTACTTCTGCAGCCAGATGCCTACAATTTGGCAGTTCAAATTCCACCAGGCTCAAGGTTGACTCAGCCTTCCATCCTTCCAACGTGGGTAAAATGAGGACCCAAATTGTTGGGGGCAATATGCTGACTCTGTAAACTACTTAGAGAGGGCTGTAAAGCACTATAAAGTGGTATATAAGTCTAAGTGCTATTGCTATATAAAGCAACATGCAATATAAAGATATGGCTTCCAATCTTCACAGTAGCTATAAGCACAATTATATTTATCTTTCTCAAGTTACATCATGGCAATCTTTTCTACAGCCCACCCTGCTAATAATCAAAACCGTAAGTCATAAGTTTGCTTTCCCTTTTTTAAATAGTGTGACTAAGGTATCAGGCTAGGAAACTGAATTCTAGTCCCATTTTTGAGCATGAAAGTCGGCTAGGTGACTTTGAGCCTTTCACTCTTTCTAAACCAACTCTCCTCACAGGGTGCTTGTTGTGGAGAAAATAGGAGGAGGAAGTGGAGTTGGTTATGTTTGCTGCCTTGAATTATTTACAAAAATAATAAAAGCAGGAAATAAATAAGAAGTTTCCAGTTACTAGTAAATGTAGATGTCTTTTCTCTCATCAAATAAATCAATTTAGCCATTTCAGCAATTTCTATCACCTTCATCCATCATTCTTCTGTCGTAGGTATTGCCCAATTTCCCCCTCTTTGTGTCCTGAGTGTCCTGAGTTCCAGGCTTGGTCTAGCCTTGCTGGATGATTTATGCCCTTAAAAGGGCTTTTGGCAATTGCTATAGCTTTACCTGGAGTTCCCTGTTATGTAAAGTATTCTGGGCCAGGCCTTAATGGCCCACCCATTAACGAAGGTGGGGGTGAGATTTTGCTTCTGGGGTGAGTTTCTGCTTCTGAGTTTCTACTCTTTTTAGAGGAAATATTCTGCCTTTTTAATATTTCCTAGGCTATTTCAATTTTCTAGGAGAGGGGTGGGTGCTAATTTCCCACACAGACATACATACATACATACATTCATACATACATACATACATACATAGGCCTAAAGAAAACTTCTAAAATAAAACAACTGTTAAGTTTGGAGAATAATGGAGACCAGACATCTGACCAGTGACTTCAACTCTTTAACAACAGTAGGCAGAACAGAACAGAGCAAGGTTATGGGCAGCAGTAACCCTTTTATAGGGTTGGCTGCTACCTTATTAACCAATAATATGTGCAACAAGTTCAACTAATACCCAAT